ATCATTAACCTTATATTATGTGATGCTAAAAGAAACAATTTGCTTATTTAATCTCTAATTTTGTTGATTAGGGGAGAAACGAGCTGTTTAGATGATAATTAAATGGAGCATTTTACAAGTGGAAGAGAATGGGTCCTCTAATCATTGTGACAAATTAAACCGGCCACCAAATTTGAAGAATATGGATAAGGTTTAGTTAAAAGTCAAATTCATATGGACAAGAATCTGTTCGGCAGAGACCTTTGTTTTTTTGTCTGTGCTGTTAGATTGGGAGCCGCCTTCACTACTTTACTACTTTTTGTTTGCTGCTCTCTGAATAAAAATGTCAATATGACAAAAACTTTGCGTGGATGAAACATAGAATCTAAATTTTCGATAAACTTTCTTGAATGATGTTGCCATACTATTACATTCACACTTGGAAAATACTGCCACTACTTAAAAAAAAGGCTGAACCCCAACATTGAGGGTCCCACCACCCAGTCCCGCCCGCCCCTAAAATTTTGTGAAGGAGGTAAAATCGCGAGATGTGCCCCAACAAGTCAGGGAATAAGAGCTGTTTGTATACTGCGCCTATAAGGAGTTCAATTCTATGTCTGAGGATTCGAACCCCCCATTGCAGCTGCCAGCAAGACGTAAGATAACCTCACTCCTATCTTTTGTACCACTAGATTATGCCCCGGGAACAAATACTGCCACTCCTTGATTGATTAATGGATAGATAGATATATATAGAAAATCAAAATATAAGCCAAGTGAATGACACTATTACCAGAATTTTGAGCCAAGTGGCAATGTCCCTGTCCCTTGTACCCAAAGCGTGTTGCAAACTTTTATTGGAGTTCTGGCCATATTTGATATGGATAAAATCAAAATTTAAAAAAGTTGATTATATTGTGAATTTTATAAAATATGTGATTAAAATTAATTGTTAATTTAAATTTAAAATTTAATTAATTTTTTTAGTTGAACCGACACGAGCTTGGATTATTCGTCCAATGTCTATAATTTCTATCTTTCTTCAATTAATTTTTACATTTTTGTGTGCTTAGTCATTTTTTAAAACGGTATGCGGAGAAGTCAATTTCAAAATGTCAGAAACTAGATATTTTTTTATTGAGTATTAAAATTAACATTTGTTATACCATTGCTTTCAACATTGTATATTGTTTAAATTATGATACCTTAAAAAATATATTAGGTCAATTTTAAGTAGAAATTTTATAACTTGAGAAATTGAATTCTCTCCTACACTATTTTTAATTTTCCCCTATCGAAAGTTACAATTAGTGCAATTTTTATTTTTGACTTTTTTCTTAACACAAACTAGTACACGGTTGATGACAATAGAATGAAATTATAAATCGAGTCGAGATTTGAATTGAACTATTAAATTATCTCCTAAATAGGTTTTTATGGCTTTAATTTTGGATGCATTTATCTTGTTGTGTTTTGCTATTTTTGTTGAGTCGAAGAAGCCCTAAATTTCTGTGATTTTTTCGATTTGGACGGATATTTAATGCAATTAATTTTTCTTCCAAAAAAAGGACCTTTGAGTCAGAAAAAGGCCGACAGCTAAAAATTCACCTGACATGGACCTATAGATATAAAATTTCGATCGCGTGTGCGCACGCATTGCATGGAGCGTGCAGTCAGCTCTCACTGTACTGGATAAGAATTTCAGGCTCCATGTCAGCATCCCCAATAAAATGGGTCTTTCTTTCCCTCCAGTACTATTCCCTTCTTTTATCTACAATACCTCTACGATTAAGCTTCACGTGTCGACTCGTGCATTTTTTACTCCACACGATTTTAGATCTACTGTTCGCACTGCATAGAATTGTACACAATGGAAATGTAGCACCTTCCCTTTGCCCTCTCTCTAAGAGCTAGCATCTGTATACAATTCTTGAATTGAAGAGGACATTGGGAATTCCCCGTCTCTGCTTTTTCAGCTGCCGTTTTCGTTAAATCCACAAATGGGTGCAAATGCATCTGCTATGCCGGGGGAACCCAATGGGCTGATGAGGCCCAAGCTGGAGGATATACCGGAATCCTGTATGGCTCTGGTTCTCTCCTACTTGGACCCGCCGGAGATTGCCAAGCTGGCGAGGATAAACCGGGCTTTCCGGGCAGCCGCCTCCGCGGATTTTATCTGGGTTCCCAAATTTCCCTCCAACTACAACTTTATTCTCAGCAAACTGCCTGATCAAGGCTTGATTACCATGGATAAAAAGGATATTTATGCCAGGCTCTGCAGACCCAACTCTTTTGACGGTGGCACAAAGGTTTGCTTGTTCAAATTCTCTATTTTTTTCCCTTTCTGGCCCTGGATTGTGAAATTCAATATTCTCATTTTTATTTATTTATTTATTATTATTATTTTTTTTTTTTGTGGAAATAGGAATTATGGATTGATAAGACAACAGGAGGGACATATTTGTCGATTTCTTCAAAGGCCATGGCGATTACGGGTATAGATGATCGGAGATATTGGAATCACATTCGAACTTATGAATCTAGGTGGGTATTTGAAACGTCTGCGCGTTTGTTTGGTTTTTTCGCACGTCTATGCACAAATTTGCCAGTAAATGAGTATATTTCTTTTATTCAAAGAAAACTTGCATTTGTCTGAAGATTTTCTTCATAATTGTTTTACGTTTCGTGGGGTTCAAATTTTCAAGTTAAGTAGGCTGTATCTTGATTGAAATGGATCTAATTACCTTCAAATGTGACGGTTTATTTATTTATTTTGTTTTTGAAGCCCCGAAATTTTGGGATCAAAGAACTGGAAGAAAGAAAACCAAAACAAATGTATGATTGAGAGTTTCCATAAATTATGGTAAAATGAAAAAGTGAAGATTAGTTAAAAGAATGTCGTTTTANTGTCGTTTTAGGCAGTCTGGGGATGGGGGTTGAATTCTTGTCCTTATCCGGGTTTGGAATAAATAATTCTTCCTTTTAATTTCCGTTCATGGGTAAAACCAGTATAGAATTTCAGTACTCACATTGAAAGAACGTTTGCCTTCCAAAAGATAGATGTTTAAGAGAAGGAGAGAGAGAAAGATTTATTCGAAGAGGTGGGTTGGTGTAGAATATGATGGTCCACTAGCTCAAATGTAGCTCTGCCTCCACCGCTTAAATGCTGGCTAGTTTGTAAATTTGCTTAATATTATAATAAAATTAACTAGTTTGTATTAAAGTGACAACTTTCTCAAAAATTATGCTGCTAAAGCTGGGGCAGATGAATAATTCTATAGCTTTGATGGAGGGAAATGAAGCCTTTTCTAATTGAATCCCCCATTTGATGTGTTTTTTAGACGCCAGATATTACAATCATGCCAGTAATACTGTTTAGAAGCGGCTAGATGCCTTTGGAATAGCGATAGGAATATCACTAATTGCTTTGTGGTTAACCTTTTCCATGGAGGAAGTAAGGTTTTATTGTGATTGGATCCTCCCTCCATTTTTCAAAACAGTGCTGCGTGCTCTAAATATTTCAACAGATAATTCACTTGTTTGTTTTAGAAGCAAAGAAAACTCGCTCTAGATACAAATCCTGTTCATTCTGTTCAGTCTTTTTATGTGATGTTATTGAATTATTAAGCAATAGGGAACTGAATAATTTCTTGTGACCTCTCCCTGTAGATTCCAAACAATTGCATATCTTCAACAGATCTGGTGGGTTGAAGTAAATGGGGACCTTGAGTTCCAGTTTCCAGCAGGGACATATAGTTTGTTCTTTAGACTCCAGCTGGGAAGGGTTGGCAAAAGATTGGGTCGTCGGGTCTGTAATTTGGACAACGTACATGGGTGGGACGTAAAACCTGTACAGTTTCAGCTGTCGACGCTGGATGGGCAGCATGCTGTATCCCAGTGCACGTTGGACAATTTTGGAAACTGGGTACACTACCACGTGGGAGATTTTGTTGTTGAGGATCCAAATGCTTTGACAAAGATCAAATACTCTTTGACTCAGATTGATTGTACTCACACCAAAGGTGGTTTATGTGTAGATTCGGTTTTGATATGCCCCAAAAGCTTAGGTAAAGAGTTGTTTTTTGTAGACGAACCCTATAAAAAATAGTAATACACTGTCAAAGAATAGATTACTTCTTGAGGAGCTTGGGATGTGGAGGCAATCTGTATTTTTGTTTGAATGAGTTGTTTGATAGTTTCTAGTCTTGGGATTTGGTGGTACCTAGTGATTCTTGTACATAATTTAATTTCAACCATTTTGTTCGGAATATAGATATTGCTTCGGTTGTCTGATATTTGCGCTTCTTCTATTTCCTGTAATTTATTTAGATCCTGTCTTGCTGTGATTTTAAGCTGAATTTGGATCGTTGTTGATCAAAAATTGTACCGTTGGACAATTTTTTAATGGAAATATTCTGACATCTTTGCAGTACAACAACAGGACATTTACTCTCATTTTTCCAATATTACCCCCGTCATTACACACTCTCAACTGCCAACATTCTGTCCCCCTTTTCCTCGTAACTTTTTGCCTCAAAGTCAGTGAACGTGTATTCATACGTGGTTGAAAAGTAGTCTTGAAAAAATAAAATGGTTAAAAAAGTGGTTTGGAAAAATGTGAAAAATAAATTTATGGTGAATTTTGCTCGAATTATGGTGAATTTTGGTATTTAACTTGCTCGAAATATGGTGAATTTTGCATCCACTGTTTGAATTGGCAAACTACAAAATTATTTATTAGACAATGCATTTTGGAACCACTTTCAAGCATGGCAAGTTACGATAATACAAGGACATTAAAGTTAAACAAATTGATAAACAAACATGTTAAATCGTATACAAATTTTGACAAATTTTTGTGCAATATCATAAGGATACGATTTAAATCGTGTAAAAAAAATTTGTGCAGTACCCTTAAGAAAAAAGGAAAAAATTGATCTCATATTTTTAAAAAAAAAAAAAATAATAATAAATTAAAAAAAAAAGAAAGAAAAAAAAATAAAAACAACTTGTGTCTCCGTGACAAATATTGTCA